CCTATTCTCTGTATCTTGGTCGTCAACAATCGAGAAAATATTTTAGAGCTGTTCGCGGCTGCCGGGTAATTGCCCGAGCAGCCGAAGTAGCCCACATGGTTAAAGGAAAGGTTCTGAGTACCGTGTACGAGTTAAGCAAGAGTGGAATCATCGTAATTAATTTCCTAGCTCTTATAAAGTCCTCTTGTACCATTTCAGATGTTGGATTGAATGTCTGTGCTGCTTAAGTTGAAGTGCGCTATTTTTAGTAGTTTTTAATGTATTGGAAGAGTGCAAGCTCATTATTAGATTCTAACCATTTTCACAGTGTCGATAGAACGCTTAACGGATTTGGATAGCGCGAACTTGGTTTTTGTATCTCAAGTGGCTTAGTAGATATGTACATTAAACCTTTTAAAGCGCGAAGGCCTCACTCTCGCCCTTTTTTTTTTTAAAATTTTTAGCTCACAGGTGCCCCTTTCTACTGCGATCCCTGGTGCCAAATCAAAGTTGTATATCTAGAGTGATTAGTTATGGTATTTTATGATTTCGCTTAATACTATTTTGTGGACGTGGAAAACGGATATATATGGATGATGTATATCTATATATTCAATCGTTCAGACTTACCCGTTACTGAAAAGAAATCATTTACTGAGGTAATTTTGTTTCTATGATAATAATTCAATTGTGGTGAACATTAACTTGTCCGCATTCGTAGAAGGAAAATAAAGCAATTTGATGTACACAAATAGTGAATTTGAACAAAGGGTAGTAAAATGTAGGTATAATAAAGTTAAAACTCAATAACGGATTGGTGGTATATCACAACTAATTTAGTTTCAGTCTATCAAAAATAGGAGGTTACACTTAAGGACAAGATATATGAGGATTGTTAAGTATAGTGCATAACTTGATGACACTCGTCCTTCTTAATTAAATTGCATTCCTACTTTGTTTCTATGAACATGCTTCCCTTTAATTATTCAATATAATTAGACTAAGCATAAAAGTGATTTCTTGGAAAAAGGCGTAATCACACTCATGCATAGCGTAAGTTGAAAGTAAGTGGAACAGTTAGTTGGAAATATTCTAAATTGTTAGCCTCCTATTGCCTCATTTGAAAAATCGCTTTCTATTTACTCAGCGGCCACTTGGCAAAAAAAAAAAAAAAAAAAAAAAAAAAAAAAAAAAAAAAAAAAAAAAAAAAAAAAAAAAAAACAAAAAAAAAAATTAAGTAGAGGATACGTGAGTTTATGATATTTAAATTATTTATAGGTATGATGTCGAAACTGTTAAAAAAAATATAGCAAATGGCGCTCCAAAAATATGGATATTTTCTTATTTTACAAACAAAAAAAAAAAAAAAACACTCGCTTTCAATTAGGATTTTTTCTTGTTCTTTCTTTTCGCTATTCTTAATAAAATTTCTTTGTTAGAAATGTCATGAAAGAAAAAGTATAAAAATTAATTTAAAACCGCCTTTAGTTTTATAGGAAAGATACATGAAATCCGGAAAATCCGGATCCGTAGTTTGGTCAGTTGGTAACCATAACGTAAATGCAACATTAGAGATTACCCTTAAATACAACTACATATATTCTTCAAATTTACAAAAATATTGCCAACCCAATGAATAATAAAAACGAAATACTAAACAAAATTCCAAAGTGTTTAAGTCACCTGAAATAAGTGAGTGAGTAAATTTGCTTTCAGCATTGATAGCTGTGAACGAGTACGTAACAAATGATACAAATACGGAAGAGAAGTACGCGAGAAGTAGAAGCTTATAGCACCGCGAAAGTGAAGCGATAAAACCACAAACACTGAACGCTGTTGAAACTTCAAACACATAGCAAAAAATGCAAATATACGAAGTTTTCCTGAAAGCTTTAAATGTTTTTTTTCCTCATATGACGGTATGCATGACTTTGCTGTTGCTAATTGTGCACATTTTATGTCACACCTAAGATAGCTGTGGGTCAGTAAACAAAGGCGAGGCGAATACTTATGTTAGCAAAACCAAGTAAGGACGCACCCGAATGTGCGGAAAGTCATCCTTGAACACTGAATTCCTCATACTCGGTACCTCGGGGATTGCAAAGTTGTAGGCTGATATTTTTATAATATAAAATAATATAGGAATATAAAGGGGATATCATGTTCCAAATTTTGTCAATTTAATTTAATTTAACTTCTGGTGTAGGAATATACATAGTTAATTGTCGTCCTTGTGGTAGTTTTCAACATAAACTTTATATGATTCCTTATATTTTTTTGCATTATATAATAAACACTAATTCTTGGGAAGTCTAGTCATTCTAGCTTTGGTGACTTGAGAGATATAAACTTATAAGGCAAAACTGTCAGAGTTCTCCTTCGATATTTAGATTTATTATGCCACATATCAAATATGTACTTATAGTAATATGCGTCCTAATTATAGATCATTAAAAGTTTCGCTTAGTGCAAGTTTCTACAAGATATCTAAATTTTTACTTAAATTATCGCCAGTTATATAAATTATGGGCTTTATATTTTTTTGCTGGTATCTCCAATTATGTTTTATATACACTATTGATGACACTGAATCCAACATACGTACGTTTTGTATCATATTCGACGTGATTGTACAAGGGACTTTTCAAAGTAAACAGGAATTTTTGAATCTAGCGCCACCTGGTGGAGACATCTATAAGCATGCGTGACTGGTGCATTAGAATCTCCTGCTTTTATCGATTGGCCAGTGTGAATTTCATGACATTTCATTTATTGCAAGTGAAGTTATTGCGTTTTACGTGTCAGTATGTTTCTGTTATCGGTGCGAAAATGAGCTTCGAACAAAGAGTCAACCTTAAATTTTGTTTAAAATTGATAAAACTTTTACCGAATCGTTTCAATTGATGAAACAAGTATATGACGATGATTGCCTATCCCGTAGCAGAGTGCACGAGTGGTTTCAACATTTTCAAAGTGATCGGACATATCATCAGGACATATATGACGATCAACATGTGGGTCAATCAAGATCCGTGATCAATGGAAATTCCATCGAAACTGTGTGTGAATTCATCAAAAATCAGCCGAAATCATAATTCATGGAAAAAGAATTGAAAATCTCCAAAAAATCGATTTTTTACTATAGAATTGACCTGGTATACATGCGTATATGTATATAAAAAACCCCTTGAAATATTTTCTATTTAAATCGTCCTAAAATTACTTTAGTTTTGCCATATGTTTTATATGAAATTTTTTGATCTTTTGCAATACAATTTTTATCTCTAAATCAAATGAATATATAAATTTCAAAGATTGATCTTTCAATACAAAATTTTTCGCTCTACAAAAAGGTTTAAATGAATTTTTTCATATATAAACTGATCATCATTCTATCGAATGAAAATATTAATTACTGTCAATAAGATTATAACTAGCAAGAGCTATCTGTGCAGAATTCAATTACCTAAAAGCACAACTGAGCCTCACATACTAACAATTTCAGTACATATTTTGGTGTGTGTCTTGATGATTTGGTATTGCGATAAACTATAATTTAATAAGCATAAGCGTTCCAGTATGCGAATCATTAATCAAAGGTGTGTAGACAAAGGAGAATACCCTACAAGAACTAAGATGATTAAGCTGAGGTGTGTTAATACATTTAAAGGAGTGCTTAAATTCGCGCGAAACCAATGAATATTCTCTAGATAGAAACTGCTATTTACAATTGCATTCACAACTGTTGGCCTGTACAAAAGTTTTGAAGTATTTCGAATCAATTTAATTAAAATAAATATAATCTCAATAACATAAACTTTAAATCTTCGGCGGTGTTTATCTGTTACTTATGCTTGTGTGTTAACTCTACTAGGTATAAAAAATGTAAATCAAAATACCTTAACAAATATACGTGAGGATAAACCTCGACCTTTAACATTTTTATACCTCAAACGTCGAAACGTCGGAGACTCTATAAAATATATATCTAAATGATCGGTGTGACAAGCTTAGTCGATTTAGCATGTTCACCTGTCTATATATAGCGGAAGTAGTTCGTCAACCCGACTTTTAGCTTGTATGGAAGACTTTTTCATATGTCGAGATGTCTTCGTGAAATTTGACATGGGTTATTATCTAAAGTAATAATGCAGTCTTTGAAGAAATTGTTCATATAGTATACTGTATACTGTACCTGTGAGACGCAGTGTTAGTTTACAGTATACATAGTTATATACTTACGATTGGAATAAAGCTTTTTTAAAGAGCCTTTTATTCTTGTGAAAGGTATTAAAACTTCGGTGCAACCGAATTTAACATTTTTTCTTGTTTTCTTTCAATTCCTTTGATTTGTTGTAACAAATGTACAAATATGAACATTTTCGAATGAGTTCCCATTTAGTCTTGTTTGGACACTCTCGCTGGAGAATATTTAGATACCCGTTACGGTTATACAATATTCAGTAATCTATGGGATGTCTTGGCTAAATATCAGACTTATTTGTCACAACCGCTTTTTTATGTGAGCAAACGACATCATAAAACTAAAGGAATCCCACTGGTTATGCCGCTGCAAAAACACTCGATTTACAGAGAAGCTTTCAATATCAAAAAAGTACTTCATGCAAACTTTTTTATAATAAGTTACTACTTATACAACTCGAATTTAAGTTAAAAATTCGGAAAAAACTCAAAATATTTTTTTATTGTGTTATCTTGCAGTCAGATATAGATACAGTACATCTGTGTGTACATGTGTACATCAAGGGCCAGTGCTGAGATCTCCTCAATCTAACTTCTCACTGCCGTGGATCATGTGGATTTAAGTTACAGGGCTAGTAGACTCTTCTTATCTTTAGACTTACCCCAATAAGTTTGAGTAATCAATTTTATATATCTTTATTACAATTATTTTTCAACAAAGATTCACATCAAAAGCTATAAGTAGTATATTTAAAGAGAAACAATTCAAGACTTTCTTCATCTTTGATTAGTGAAAAGATTATCTGCAATTAGCCAACCTAAGAGTACTCATGTCTGCTGATAATTTTTCGCTCTCCACTTTTCTGCTTAGCCAGTTTCTTCTTTACCGTTCTGTCATAACAACAAAGTTCAGCAAAGAACACCAGAATTGATACACCTACACCGACGCCATACAACCACCAAAGCCAGTAGAAGCTACTTAAGTCCAAACGTTCACTTCTCACATCGTTTACTGGATTAATGGTGTTCAGTTTTTTTGCCGCCACCATATCGTCATACTCTTGGGCGGTCCATAAGGCCAACAACCCCACGCTTTGTATTTCATAGATCATATTATTGAGCGCGTCCGTATAAATTGAATTCTTCTGCAATGGTATGGCCATCGGAATACCCTTACTTAGATATATACCTTCATTCACATAAAAAAGCGGTTGCTGCAAGTGAGATTGATACTTGCTCATGACAAACCACATTGGGCTGAGTATTGTGAAAGCATACCGTGGATCCAATAAAGTTCGTTGTCGTTGGATTTCTTCAAATGAGGGCACAATGACCAGCATGTCATCTAATATTTTAAGATGTTCCGGAGGGAAATATTTTGGAAGCAAGCCATACTCATATTTGCTTACTTTTACTTTTAGTCCCGAGTTGTACAGCTCTGCGAAATGCTTTATACGCGGATAACGAAGACTGCTAGTCAGATATGATTGAAGACTTGCAGATATCAAGGTACTCATAAAAATTCCACTTAAGAAGAGTATTATATATAAGAAGCGTTTCAAAAATCTCGCTGAAAGTTCTACTCGAACGTACGACGGTTGGCCAATTATACCACGAAGCACTACGTTGATGAGTGTCCAACAGAATAAGAGAAAACATTCGGTGGATGTTCGGCGTTGCAAAATCAAACTCTCAAAGGTGAAGACGGAAGAAAATATAAAGAGTAGGCTGAGCAGTAAAAGACCCAACACTGAATTGAGAAGGAACACGAAAATTTCGCTGTCGGGTATTCGTGATGGCAGAGGCATCATAATTGTCCAATCCACTGGCAGTACAGTAGCGCTTATGTCCACAAAGCTGTTTGAATCACCCGCAATCGCGATTCCACTAACTACATCAATTGTATCATTTTGTAAAAGGGAAACCCAAGTTCCTGCTTCTATAAAGACATCTGCTTTCACAGGCAAGGGATAAGAAAGTGTGGCGTTGATGCGTTTAGCAAATTCTCGCAAAATTTTAGTAAAAAAGCCACTAATCTGTATTTTACCGTTCAGATCACGCCACACAAATGTCCAAGGCTCCAATTGATCGGGCAGAGTTCGTAAAGAAATGCCTTTTAAGTCCTTTATGCGGTTCGGGAAGCAATCCTCGTCCATTGTTTTTCGTTCAAGATGAAATTCCGGAAAATAGCTGAACGTGTAGAAGTGCCCGTCCTTCACGTAGTCTCGGTAAATGGCGATTACATTGAGCAAACGCATTTCAGCGCAATATTCGAAGAGCAGTTGTTGCTGTTTTTGCAACCGTATACGCTTTCTACTCGCTGCGGCGGTATATTCTTCATTCCAAATGAAAAGAATTCGAACATTTCGCCTATTTTGAAGGAAATCGAGCATTGCTTCCAAAAGCTCAGCAGAAAATCTCTCCGGTAGGCAGCGGATTAAAAGCAGTTCGCTGCTGTCTCGCTTGGAAGATGAGCTAGAGTTGCCCGCATTCAATAGCTTAACGGTCGTGTTAGTGCTAACTATTTTAATATCCACATCACAGAGGCAGCTGAGCTGGGATTTGTAGGCGTTCATGACGATAACTGTGCTAACTTTCCACTCCAAATCAATTTTCCTCAGAATATAACTTATACTTAAGGCATTTGAAGAGTTCCAATTCAAAGTTGGATAACCCATCAGCAGTGGCAAACTGTAAAGTAACAGTATATTGCCGGAAGTTAACATTTCCGCTTCAAAACACTGTCTGAAAACAAACTTAAAAGACTGATTTACGTTTTATTGTTTCGCTGTCTTTTATACAATGCTGCATTTTTGTCCTTCGAATCGTTTCAATTTCCTAATGGATTACAGGAACTAATAGTAAAGTTGTGCTATGAAATTAATATGGTGAACGATGTTATCTCATCGAAAATAAATGCATAAATATCGGTTAATAATGGCATCAGAGCATAAGGAGGCAAACGCGGCTTGATTGATTACGCCAGGCAATGATTTGTACCTAATATATCACCGAAGGGTTACTGGCGATGGAAGTGAGCCAATAGGTTATTTATAACCGGTTTGGGGAGTTATTTGCATTAAAAGCAACAATTGAGTGTCATTGGTAATGATTCTCCTAGAAAACATAATTATATTTACACAAAGCTTTTTTTTGTTTTTTGTGGAACTGGTAACAATGATCATAGCCAGCGCTGTCTGCGAATCATATCCTGGACAACATCCGAACGGTCCAAACTCCTAAAGTGCCATAAAACTCAAATATTTCATCGTAAATGTTTTTAATCCACTTTGACCCTTTCGTATCATTTCAATATAAGATATAGACAAACAATACCGTTATTGTTGTGATTAAGTTGTCAAGGTTTTAACTGTGGCTAAACAAGCGAACATTTAACCCACTAAATTTTTATTGGCAAAAAAGGATGAACTTCAAAAGAACTTTAAAATATATATTACTAAAGCGCTAAAACTCAAGTCAAGTAAAACAAGACAATCTCCTCAGTTTCTATAGCTTATCCTTACAAATAATATACTTCATGCTTAGTAATACATAGACTATATTGCTACCGGATATCATCTATAGTTGCATCGTGAGACTGTTCCCTATTCGGCGTTACCTTACGCAAAAGTTCACCCCTTGCCCTCATGTACGAGAGTGATCTTCCGCCAATGACCCGTAGCAGCTGCCCCCATCATCATCTTCTTAAGTGCAAGTTGTTTAAAGTAGCATGTTGAAGACCAGTAAATGCACTTAGATGAGACCATCTTGCATAAGTGATCCTGATAACGCAATGAAAGTTTTTCTCGCAGATTTATTTAGTAATACCGGATGTAATAAGGCTTGCTGCTCAAGATCATGATTAGGATTTACTGTTGAAGCGATCCTTTAATTTGTCAGTAACGAAAGCGTTCGCTGTTCCAATAGTTAACGAAATCTCTAGCCTGCTAAATCATCTGTAGAAACACAAAGCAGTCGCTTTGTGACGTTCCTTTGCCCGACTATGAAGAAGTTCGAATAGTAATTACCCGCCTGAAAAACAACAAAGCGGCGGGGGCCGATGGATTGCCGGCCGAGCTATTCAAACACGACGTGGATGTGGTTTAATCGATTTAGCTCGTCACTCTGATCACTTATACATGTATTCGTTAGGGTCTTCATTATTTACTTCTTGCTGTTAGAAACTTCGTGGTAAAGATAATATACACTGTTCAGGGTATATTAATACTTTTAAACAAAAATGATATATTTATGAACTGAACTACTTTCTTTTTCTTACGATAAGTAGTATGGTAATCTTATAATGAAGCCAAGTTTAATAAATATATAATACGCTGGCAAGCGTCTCTACATTTACTATCTTAATATATAGATCATAGAATCAGTGCAGTAAAATTTCGTATTTGTTTTCCTTTGCAAATAATTACGACACATTTAATTTATAAGGTACCTATCAAACATGGAACCATGTTCCACTTGCAGTCATTATGTAATTGTGCCAACAATGTAATTTACTTTCAACAACAAATAGTAATTAAGGGCAGTAATTGCGTCGAATCATATGCTTCAAGGAGTTTCTACTCAACGGCAAGAATGATTTCAGTGCAAATTAGAACAAGAACAACTACTTTGTGTCAATATTGTCATATTATAGTACTTTCGGTAGCTTGTATGAATCTGAAGGGTACTTATGTCAATTGATGTTAGCGAAAAAGATAACAAAGCGATTCTGTTTCACAAGTAGTCTCTACCGCATTTTAGTCTATACTTATTTGAAACAGTTATATTCCAACCGGTGCTTTTCGGAAAACATCGCATATTGACGTATTAAATAGTTTACTTAACGCGACATTTATGAAATTTTTTTGAGGACCTGCTAATATTTATATTGTTATGTGGAGCTTCTTTTTTTATAATCCTGCAACATGTTGCACATAGTGTGAAATTTTGTTAACCAAATGGTAATCAAGGTAATCAAATGTCGAGACTGATTTACTTTCCTATTTATTTTTGTTATTTCGTTTGTCGGTTATTGAACATACATATAAATATTAGGTTCAAAATGACAAAAAGTGAGATTATGTCAGAAGCATTACATTTAAACATGGTGCCTTGGTTGCTTGAAATTTTTAAAAATGAAAAGCGACAGTATGGCAAAAGTCGTAAATTTCGTTTGAAACTTTTCTTCGTCTAAAGCTTTGTTTAGATAGACAGATGCTTACTTACTTAACACAAATAACTACATCTCTCCACCTACACCACATATCTGAGTTCATTCCAAGGAATAAAAACGTAAGATGAACTATTCAACGAGCAATCCGTCACTAACAAGTTTTTAGTGTCACGGACTATGCCTCAAAAATAATTTGTCATAATGTCAACACAACCGGAAAACATAGAGAAACACGCACTTACTTGTGAAGCTGAAAGTGTTGGTGTAGACATTTCCAGAACGGAGGCAGCTAACCAATGTTGTGCTACAAAAACTGATACAGCATCATCCCGTATACTTCAGAAATTTCATTGGTGGCAATCTTCCCTTTTTTATCCAAAACTTCGAAATATAGTGAATTTCTTCATTATTTTCACACATTTTGAGCAGCTGTAATTTTTTTTCAAGTTCCCCGAATTTAGTTTTCTTTTTTTTAAACATCACAAAATGTGTTTGATAGCTATGGAGACATACGACTGCAACGACATTTACAAAAATACGAAAAGACCTTTTCGATTACCTAACCCCTGGCAGGTACAAATTTTACTTAGTTTCTCCAATGTAGAATATGTTTGCGAATTGAACGGTTAAAGTAAAAAATAATCAAAACAAATAGTAAATATATTTTAGGGGTGAGCATTGTTTGCAAACATCTGAAGGGTCAAATGATATTATATGTATATACAATGTGAAACAAAATTTTTGTTGCTTTCGATTTTACAGCTATTTTAGAGTTCTTTAGGCATGTCAAATTCAAATCCGAAGTCAATTTTCTTCTATCACGTCAAGTGCTTTTGCTACAGCTTATAGTAATGAGACCACTCCCTGCAGTGTGCTGCTTAGATCATAAAACGGGGCACGCTCTTCTATAGACGGAAGTTTAATTTTTTTTTATTTGGAATAAGTGAATATCGCTGTAGGAGAATAGCAGCAGGTTTATGCTTGTAACGACAATCATCTAGACGGCAGTTGGGACATGTATGAACCTGTCGTTGGTGACCTATGGCGTCATTCTCTTCTCCCCATACGAGCAAGTTCAGTTTCGCGCGAGATTGTGTGGTGAGACGTTGTTTGTGCTCATACGTTACGTCCGGTTTTTTAAAAAAGGATTTTTTTTTTATTTCTGAGAAAAACTTCTCTTTCCTTTAGATCATGTCTGTCTCTGGCATTTCACGTCGAAGGTGTATAAACAGTGCTGATACGTTTTGCTATATTTGTGGCAGTTTTATTATTCCAAGTCAAAAGAGAAACCTTAGTCGATTTGTCAGAAAAGCCTATTTAGCGTGTTTTAAAATGAAAATCGGAGATCAGGATAAAGCTTGGGCCCCTCACAAGGTGTGCAAGCAGTGTGTCGAGAGTTTACGAATGTGGACTAAGGGAACACGTGATAAAATGATCATTCAAGTGACTGTTATTTCTGTATGGTGAAAACGTCAGGTTACAACAAAAAAAAAAAAAACATGTAAGATAGAGTATCCTAGTTTACTATCGGCTATATGACCAGTGCCTCATTCAACTGAAATCCCAATGCCAGTTTTCGAAGAACTACCCCTATACAAGAAAGCGTGTGTGATGATAATTCAAGTGACTCCAACGATGAAGACTTTGAAATTGAAGACGACTCTGCTCGAAAGGGATTTAATCAGAATGAGTTGAATGATTTGGCACGAGATTTGGGACGATCCAAAAAAGCAAAAAAGCAGAGCTGATGGCATCCAGACTGTATGAGAAGAACTTGCTTGAAAAAGGAGCTAAGGTATCCTACTTTCAATCCAGAGAAAGTGAATTTCTGCCATACTTTCGAAATGACTCAGGATTTCTTTATTGCTGTAACGTACAAGGTTTGATGAATGTGTGGGGAATTCCAATATATAACGCAATTGAATGGAGACTTTTCATAGACAGCTCAAAGAGGAGCTTGAAGTGTGTACTATTACACAATGGAAACGTCTTTGGTGCAGTTCCAATCGGCCATTCTGTTCGTTTACAAGAAGCATATGAAGACATAAAGAGAGTAATTGATTTGCTGAAAATATGATATGCATAAGTAGATCATCTATGTTGACCTTAAAATGGTCTGCCTCCTTCTTGGTCAGCAACGAGGATACACAAAGTATCCCTGTTTTTTATGTATGTGGGACAGCAGAGCTCGGGAGAACCATTGGGTGCAGTCGAATTGGCCGCCAAGATCTGAACTAAAACTTGTTGATCCGAACATTCTACATCAACCACTAGTCGACAGGAAGAGCATTGTATTCCCACCTCTACATATAAAGCTTGGCCTCATGAAACAGTTTGCTAAAACTTTGTCCTCTGAAGGGGACTGTTTCAAGCATTTAATTTGGCATTTCCTGGACTGTCTTTTGAAAAGATAAAGGCTGGTGTATTTAATGGTCCACAGATTTGGCAACTCGTTAAAGATGAACATTTCATCGAAACAATGACAGAACTCCAAAAGAACGCTTGGTTGGCATTCAAAACCATTATCAAAGATTTCGATATATGGGGAATAAC